TCCAACCTTCCCAACCCACCTGCATCTTCACCCCATAGCAACCAGCTATGGAACCTCAGGGACATGGAGGGTCCCTTTCCAACCTTCCCAACCCACCTGCATCTTCACCCTGCACCAACCAGCTATGGAACCTCAGGGACATGGATGGTCCCCTTCCAACCTTCCCAACCCACCTGCATCTTCACCCTGCACCAACCAGCTATGGAACCTCAGGGACATGGAGGGTCCCTTTCCAACCTTCCCAACCCACCTGCATCTTCACCCCATAGCAACCAGCTATGGAACCTCAGGGACATGGATGGTCCCTTTCCAACCTTCCCAACCCACCTGCATCTTCACCCTGCACCAACCAGCTATGGAACCTCAGGGACATGGATGGTCCCCTTCCAACCTTCCCAACCCACCTGCATCTTCACCCTGCACCAACCAGCTATGGAACCTCAGGGACGTGGATGGTCCCCTTCCAACCTTCCCAACCCACCTGCATCTTCACCCTGCACCAACCAGCTATGGAACCTCAGGGACATGGATGGTCCCCTTCCAACCTTCCCAACCCACCTGCATCTTCACCCCATAGCAACCAGCTATGGAACCTCAGGGACGTGGATGGTCCCTTTCCAACCTTCCCAACCCAACTGCATCTTCACCCCATAGCAACCAGCTATGGAACCTCAGGGACATGGAGGGTCCCCTTCCAACCTTCCCAACCCACCTGCCTCCGGGCAAGGGGTGCGCAGCCAACACAGCTCAAGGACTGAAGGAAGGGGGGTGGATAAAAGCCCTCCATCAGTCTTCTCCTTTCAAATGCTCATTATAAATAGCTCCTCGGTGTGTTCTGAGTCACCCAGCTGAAACGTGCAAGCTAATAACCAACTGGGAAGTGATTCCAAGCCAGGGAATGGGAGGATTCTGGCAAAGTCATCACTCCTGTGCCAGCGCTGCACCGGCACTTGCTGGTTGTGTTTTCCCTCCTTAGGTATCACAAACCTCCGCTGCGTCTGGTGAGCAGAGGGCTTTGGGGGTGCTGGGACACGTGGTGAGTCCATCCGCATGAGGACAAGCCCCGAACTCCCTTTATTCCCAGCCAGAAGAGCCAGGGTTTAATATTTCCCATGGGAAACGCGCCCATCCGAAACCATCTTTCTTCTTCTGTTTGATTTCTGATAGGAAGGACAAACGAAGAGAGACCAGAAGGTCTGCACCCACCCACAGCATTCCCGCATGCTCTCAAGCCATCCTTCTGCACCTCTTCCTCCCCACATCGGCTTTGGCTTTGGGGATGGGAGCGGGAGCAAGGGCTGCTAACGATGCCAACCAACCCACCCCTGGGCCGTTCCAGAGCCGAATCCCACAGCCTGCTGTGCTAACCCATCCCTTGAGGGTGGTACCTGGCGACAAGGCTTGGGGCCACTTTCCCCACCATGGACCAGCAACAGCTTCCTGAGACCCCCAATCCACACTCCAACCCCCCCCACCCCCCAGACAGCAAACCTTGGGGTCACCCATCACCCATTGCATGAAAGCACCCCCCACCCTTGACACTGGGATGGGGGCAGCTGCCAGGGTACCACTGCCTGCGCTCTGCCTGCTCTCCATCACCTAAACCCCCTTTACTGGGTGTGATGGAGCCGCAGCAGCAGCCGCAGCATCTCCCAGCGCTCTGCATCCCCCTCGCTCCCCCCTGCCTCCATTCAGACCCATCCATTAAGGACAGCTCAGCCCTTTGAAGGAGAAAGCTGGACAAGCAGAAGGTCCCAAGGCCCTGCCTGCACTTCTGGCTGCAGCCCAGCGCCAGCCACGTGGGAGCTGGGAAAGAGACAAAGCAAAAGCAGGGACCGAGGTCGGAGGAGAGCGCTGCTGCAGCCAGGGAATCCTGCATCCCGCATGGAGGAGTGGTCGCAGCGCTGCCTGCTCCGGGTGGGTGCTCATCCTCCTGCAGCTCATGACACTGAAAGCACTTGCTGCTCTGAAATGGGGGGGGGGGGGGTGGAGGGTGAGCTCTTGGATGGGTCCTCCCCACCCAAGGGACCGCTCCAGGTTTGGAGATGTGCAGGGTGCCAGGAGCTCCCCCTCCATCCTCTCTGAGCTCCAGGGTGAGGGGATGCAGAAGTGCCCCCCACACACAGCTCCCAGTGGATGCACCAGCACCAGGCTGGGCAAAAGGTGCAGGGTGGGCCTGCGCTCGGCCTTGCTGATGTCTGTAGACCTCCAAAAGGTGCCTGGACTGCTCCACCACTTGGATGCTCTCCTGCATCCCAGCCGGTGCTGCGCCATGGGTACCAGAGCAAGCCATGGGATGGTTTGGGTTGGATAGGACTTTTTAAGGTCCAGGACCTGAAGGAAGCAGCAACCAGGTGGGTACATCAGGGGGGTAAAATGGGGATGGTTCATTACACATGGCCCCTGCGTGAGCCTTGATGGGGACACACTGTCCAAGTCCTGGTATCAACCTAGGGACACACTGCCTGCGTCCTGTATTAACCTGGGGATGCAGCGTCTGGGATAACCGGCACTCAGACCAACACACGTCCTTTACGGAGGGGATAAAGATGCCTCCTTATCCCATGGCAGGACACTGGTCTCTTCCCGCTCCTGGACACTCATCCGGGCAGGATGGAGCCCTCATCCCAGCTGCGGCCAAGCCACGGTCCCTCCTCCATCACGTGCCTGGCACCGACGCTGTCACCAAACCAGCGCCAAGCCCGGCAGCCCTTGCCCAGTTCACACATCCCCACGCCTGCTCCCACCAGCGGGAAGAGCCGGATGAGGCCTCTTTCCGAAGGAAGCCTTGACCTGTGCCCAGGCTCCGCCGCGCCTGCGGGGCTGCTCAGAGCATCCTCTCCTCCTGCGTGCTCTCAATGCGCAGAGCTCAGCTGCGGCTCCCCCAGCCCCTGGCTGCTGTCAGATGCTGTGAGCGCAGCAGCTCCGGGCACCCCAGCATCCCACCCGCCCGTAACCGGGTCAGGAGCCGCTGCCGGGGGGGAAAGGAGGAAGAAACGGCTTTAAACGTGACCTGGATAATGCAGGATGGCGCTTGAGTGGCTGCCAGCGACGCTGCCCTGCGAGGAAACCTCATCCACCACGCACGTGGGTAGACCTGGCCCACCGCTGCATCCCGGCCCCATGCAGCATTCCCAGCGTGCTGCGAGGGCGGGAGCAGCTTCGCTGGGATCTGCTGGCAGCAAGCAGGCAGAGCCAGCGGGAAACAACACAGGCAGGGAGCAGGCAGCATCACCCCGGCCTCACGGGGACACCCATGTGCAAAGGGCATCGCCGGAAAGCGCTTAGGAAGCTTTTCCAGCCCTATATATCCCCCAGGATGTGCGGGAACAGGGATAAGCATCTAGGAAAGACACGGGGTTGTATCCTGGGTGAAGGGGAAAGCATCTCATCTCACCATCCCTGCCCTGGGCGGCTCGAGAGGTGCAGCAATCCAGCTACACTCAAGTAGCATCCACCATTCTTAAAGCCATTAAACAGGAGCTGCAAGTCAGCAGCGGCATTCCAGCCGGAGGGAACATGAGGATGGCAATGGCATTTCAAGACCTTTGTGTGCTGCGCTTAAAGAAAAGGACACGGGCACATGTGGTGGCAGCAGCATGAAAGGATCTCTGCAGGGAACAAAGCGCACACAGCACCGGCGAGAGCAGGGGGGAAGGATGCTGCCCGCAGAGGCTGGATCCAGCACCCACAGCAGGGGGGGATCAGCAGCTCCTGATGGCCTTTGGAAGGTGGATCTGAGCCCCACGCCACCACAGGCAGGAGATGCTGGAGGCTATTCTAGAGCCAGGCAGACTTGGCATCCAAAGGTCACCTCGTGAAGGTGCGAAAAGCTGGGGATGCCGGAGGGAAATAGGTGGGGATGAGGCAGGAGCGGGCGACAGCTTCCCTTGTGCCCTGATGGCCCTGGAATCACATCAAGCACTCGCTCCAGGAGCCCTGAGGATGCTCCCAGGCGCATCCCCATGAGGGATGCAGTGCTGGGAGCGGCGGTCCCGGCTGCCGAGCCAGTGCTTGAGCATGTGGAGCTGAGATGCACCCGTCAGACAAAGGAATCCAAGCACCCAGCAGCTTCCCTCCTCATCCCCTTACACCCTCATCCCATTCCCACCGGATCAGCCCATCCCTTTGGCAATGAGGGGTCTGATCCCAGCAACCGCTGGGGTGGGAAACAAGGGGTAGGGAGCACCCGATATCTCTGGATACCCGGGAAGCAGAGCACCCACGTACTGCAAACCGCCTGCGCACAGCAGTGGAGCCTCGTGAGTGCTCCATACACACACAGACACAGAGCCGGGGATCTCGGCCATCCCGAGCCACGGTGATGGGAATCGAGGCATCGCACGCTTCCCGTTAGCCAGCTCTGCCCCTCTCCCCACGTGGGCTCTCCAGAGCATCACCCAGCACGGCTGGAAGCGAGCACTGTCATCCCTCAGCAAGGTCACCCCCTGCGAGCCCCTCATTCCTGCGCTGTGGAATGAGATCCCCCCTGATCCCCCTGTCCCACCCCACCGCATGGGATCAGCAGCACCGGGACCCCCAGACCTGTTGCGTGGGGTGGGTGTGCAGGGGGGTGGCTCCTCCTGCCATGCGTGGAGCCACCGAAGCCACGATGCCGAGGCCTGACCAGCATTTCACTAAGTCACCCACATCCCCCCCAGCTCACTGCCAGGCCAGGAGCCTGCTGCTCCCATGGGAAACCACCGCGGGGTTACAGGGAACATATAAGGGGGGGTCAGCAGGGAAAAGGGGAGATGCTGCTGACAGCGGCGCTCCCGCACAGCATCACCCATCAGTGATGCCCTGCCCTGTGCTCACACAGTGAGGAACTGAGGGGGGGTCGCAGCCTGTAATCCCCCTGCACCCCAGGCGGGAGGAGGAACTTTTCCCCTCTCCGCGATGTCTCCCTCTCGCCTTCGCGCAGCCTCTCCCCCCCCGGAGCATCGCTCCCTCCCGGCGTGGTCCCCCCCAGTCCCCGGTGCCGGCGGGAGGGGACTCACAGGTCAGACGCAGCCGCCTGGTACGGCTGGCTCCGGCAGAGGATGGAGTGTCCGCAGCCCTGCCCCATGGCTCCGCATGCTTCGGCGGCCGGCGGGGGCTCGGAGAGGGGCTGCGGGCAACGCGGAGCCGCCGCGCCGCCCGGTTCTCGGTGCTGACGGGGAGCGGAGCCCGCTGCTGTCAACCGAGCCCGATGCAGCGCGCCGAGGCGTGCGGGAGGGGAGGGCGGAGAGGCGCGGGGGGAGGCCGGGGGAAGAAACGCCGCTGATTGACGGCGCCGCTGCGGCTCCGCGGGGCTGGGCGGGGGCCGGAGCCGTTCCCGCGGAGGGGCCGAAGGGGTCCGCACCTGCCTCCGGCTGCCGCCCGCCCTGGGCCGCGCCCGGCCTCGCCCGCAGCGCCGCCCCGCTCCGGGGGGACACCGCCTTTGTCTAGTAAGGAGCGCGCTGGCCCTGCCCGCCCCGCGCTCCCCGCGGCGGCAGCGGGTCCTGCTGGGCGCCGCAAGCGCCCGTCTGCCCGGCTTCTGCCCCGGGGGACATCGGGCAGCACAGAGCGGTGCTGGGCAGTACAGGGTAATGCTGGGCAGCACAGAGCGGTGCTGGGCAGTACAGAGCGGTGCTGGGCAGTACAGGGCAATGCTGGGCAGCACAGAGCGGTGCTGGGCAGCACAGAGCGGTGCTGAGCAGTACAGGGCGATGCTGGGCAGTACAGGGCAATGCTGGGCAGCACAGAGCGGTGCTGGGCAGTACAGGGCAATGCTGGGCAGCACAGAGCGGTGCTGGGGAGTACAGGGCAATGCTGGGCAGTACAGGGCAATGCTGGGCAGCACAGAGCGGTGCTGGGCAGTACAGGGCAATGCTGGGCAGCACAGAGCGGTGCTGGGCAGCACAGAGCGGTGCTGGGCAGTACAGGGCAATGCTGGGCAGCACAGAGCGGTGCTGGGCAGTACAGGGCGATGCTGGGCAGCACAGAGCGGTGCTGGGCAGCACAGAGCGGTGCTGAGCAGTACAGGGCAATGCTGGGCAGTACAGGGCAATGCTGGGCAGCACAGAGCGGTGCTGGGCAGCACAGAGCGGTGCTGGGCAGTACAGGGCAATGCTGGGCAGCACAGAGCGGTGCTGGGCAGCACAGAGCGGTGCTGAGCAGTACAGGGCAATGCTGGGCAGTACAGGGCAATGCTGGGCAGCACAGAGCGGTGCTGGGGAGTACAGGGCAATGCTGGGCAGTACAGGGCAATGCTGGGCAGCACAGAGCGGTGCTGGGCAGCACAGAGCGGTGCTGGGCAGTACAGGGCAATGCTGGGCAGTACAGGGCAATGCTGGGCAGCACAGAGCGGTGCTGGGCAGCACAGAGCGATACTGAGCAGCACAGAGCGGTGCTGGGCAGCACAGAGAGATGCTGAGCAGCACAGAGCGGTGCTGGGCAGTACAGAGAGATGCTGGGCAGTACAGAGCGATGCTGGGCAGCTCAAGCAATGCCGGGCAGCACAGAGTGATGCTCAGCAGCACTGGTTTTGCAGACAAGTCCCTGCCCCAGGGCAGCACCAGACCCACAAGCAGGTGCCTTGCGCATGGGCACCAGGCAGCATCAAGCAGTATGGAGCAGTAGTGGCCCTCAGGCAGGGCCCTGCCCCAGGGGAACTGGGCAGCAGTAGGTAGCACCCGACCTGCGAGCAGGTTCCTTTCCCAAGGGTGCTGGGTGGCATCGAGCAGTATTAGAAAATCATGGAATCATGGAATCAGCCGGGTTGGGAAAGAGCTTCAGGACCATCCAGTGCAACCATTGCCCCATGGCCACCACTGCCCCATGGCACTGAGGCCTCGTCTCCACGGGGTGTGAACCCTTGCAGGGCCGGTGCCTGCAGCCCTGCCCTGGGCAGCCTGTTCCAATGCCTGAGCACCCTCTGGGGCAGGAATTGTTCCTCAGCTCCATCTAAACCTGCCCTGGTGCAGCTTGAGGCCGGTTCCTCTTGTCCCATCCCTTGTTCCTTGGGAGCAGACAAGCAATAGACAGCAGTGCCCGGCAGGCAGGTCCCCACCAGGGCAGCAGGTCCCACCCCAGGCAGGAGGAGCCGGAGCCTCCCATGTGCCTGCAGCATCGCTCCATGCCTGTGCCCCCGCTGCCACCTCCCGAATGAGCGCAGCTTCCCCCGGGAGCCTCACTGGGCACGGAGCCCTCTGCACGCGTGCAGCACCGGCACCGGGCACCGATGGCTTGGAGGAGCAGATGTGGTGTCCATGGGTTTATCCCCCACAAGCACACTGGGATCTCCTGCCCTGGGCCTCCTGGAGCCACAAGGTGTCAGGGAGAGCATGGAACAAGCGCCCTGTGCTGTGAGCACTGCCAGGGATGGGGCAGCCACAGCTTCTCTGGGCACCCTGTGCCAGCGCCTCAGCACCCTCCCAGGGAAGAGCTTCTGCCTAAGAGCTCAGCTCAGTCTCCCCTCGGGCAGGTTCAAGCCATTCCCCTTGGCCTGGCCCTACATCCCTTGTCCCAAGCCCCTCTCCAGCTTTCCTGCAGCCCCTTTAGGCACTGGAGCTGCTCTAAGGTCTCCCCTTCACGCCTTAGTAAAGGGGGAGAATCCCTTCCCTGAGCTGCTGCTCACACTCTGGGGGTGCAGCCCAGGACGTGGCTGGTTTCTGGGCTGCAGGCACACACTGAAGCCATTGAACATCACGAGGTTCTATGGTCCCACCTCTCCAGCCACCCCGCTGTTGCTCCCCCATCCCATGTGAAGCCAGGAGCATCCCTCTGGTCCTCAGCTCAGCAGCATCTCTCTGTGGGTGTCTGCATCCTCCACACACTCGCTGTCTGCTCCGCGCTGCACCAACCCACACCCCCAGGCTGGGAGCTCGGCTTCATGGCAGGAGGTGGTTGCACCAAAAGCAGCTGGTTTGGTTGCTCCCCAGTAGCCTTGCAGCGATCCAGCCCTCCGGGGTCACTGCTTCCATGGGGAGAGGGGCGGGATGTGCTTTGTAACCGCTGGGGGTACGCTGCTGCTGCCCTGCTCCGTGCTGAGCCCACGTGAAGAGCAGCAATAGTTATTAAGAGATTTGCACTCAAATCACATCAGTCCCTGTCAGATTCACATGGATTAATATCCCCATGGTCTCCAGAAATAGGCCGAGTAACGCATCCATTACTGAGAGCCCCTGCCTGCCTTGGCCAGGGGAGGAAACCGAGGGCCAGATCCAGGATGCCTTGCCCAGATTTCACCCCAGGAGCTGATGGCAGAGCCAGGGCTCATCTGGGGTTATTTTAAGGGCCATCACTTTGACCATGGAATCCTGGAATGGGTTGGGATGAAGGGACCTTAAAGCTCCTCCATTCCCAACCCCTGCCACGGGCAGGGACCCCTTCCATAGAGCAGCTTGCTCCAAGCCCCTGTGTCCAACCTGGCCTTGAGCACTGCCAGGGATGGGGCAGCCACAGCTCCTCTGGATGCCACGATCCTCCTGACATCAGTGCAATGTCCCCACTCTGGGTGGGACCCTGGGTGCTTATGAAGCCAGGCACCAGCGCAGCTTCTTGGGTGCTTCCAAGCAGGGATTTGTGTGGAAAACACCCAAATTATTCATGGAATTTCCCATTTTCCCGATTTTTGCATTATTCATGGAATGCTTCCAAACATTATGGAAGCTCTGGGATGGCTCCACCAGGTTCTTCCAGTTCCTCAGCACCGAGACCCCTGGGGCTGCACACACTGAAAGGAGGAACCGCGTCTCCAAGGACAGAGCCTGCGCTGCTGTTGGCAGAAGCTGCTTGGATACGGGGCTGAGCTCTCTCCTGAGGAGGAAACAGCACAGAGCAATGTGGGGAGGAGAAAACCACCTCTGTGAGCACCAGGAGCAACGTTAGAGAAGGGAGAGCGCCGGGAACCACATGGAAGGGTTCACGGGAGGATGCTGGCATGTGGTGGTCCCTGCCTGCATCTGCGGATGGACCTGGTGGGCCTCGCACCCCGATGTGCTCTGACCTTCTCCGCTGGGATTGGGAATGTGGGAATGGCTTGAACCTGCCCGAGGGGAGGCTGAGCTGAGCTCTTAGGCAGAAGCTCTTCCCTGGGAGGGTGCTGAGGCGCTGGCACAGGGTGCCCAGAGAAGCTGTGGCTGCCCCATCCCTGGCAGTGTTCAAGGCCAGCTTGGACACAGGGGCTTGGAGCAAGCTCAGGCCCCCACGGACCTGGAACTGATCCTGGCTGCTGGAAATCCATGGGGTTGGCATCGCCATGGCATACAGGGACATTAGAGCGGGGCTGTGGTGCAGGCGCGAGGCCTTGGTGATGGCCAGCAAGACCCACCAAGAAACCTTCTCCAGGAGCATCCAAAGGGCAAACCTTACCCCAGCGTCCTGCAGCTTAAGGCTCTTCCCAGCCCTATGGAAGGAGAAGGTCCTGGGAGGATCCAGCACAGCAAATCCCTCTTGTTCCTCCCCACATTCCGTGCTGGCTGCAGTGAACACGATTCCAGCGCAGCTCATGGCAGCTCCGCTCTGGCTCCTGACGCTGCTCCATGTCTTTATCTCCTGTCAGGAAGATGAAGCGCTGCCGCCTTCCAAAGGCATCATTCCAGGTCCGTGCCCTCGTGTGGGTGTTTGTGGTGTGAATGTGAAACGAGCCTCGAGCTCAGCTCCTGCAGCGCCTCCTCGGCTGCGGGATGCAGGTCTTTGAGCTCTCGATAACCACCGACGGTCCCTGGGTGCTCGCTGTGCGGGTACCGGCAGCATCCCGCTCATGGGGATGGGTTTGGTGGCACAAAGCAGCTTCCTCACAAGATGCTCTCCCTACAGCATCACTGCACCCCCTCCCCAGAGCTCTGAGCTCCAGGGAGCAACGGGCTCCTCTCTCTTCCTGCAGGGATGCCCCAGCGGAGCAGCCCGGGATGCTCCCAGGGACCACACGCTGCTCCCCTGCTTCCAGGCCGTCAGAGGAACATGGGATGGGTTGGGATGAAGGGAGCCCAAAGCTCCCCCAGTTCCAACCCCCTGCCATGTGCAGGGACACCTTCCACTAGAGCAGCTTGCTCCAATCCCATCAGGATATGGATATATCCCTAGGTATCCCCAGTATTCCCACCAATGGAAGCACTGGTCCTGTTGTGCCTGTACAAATGCCCCCCAGAAAGTTCCAATTCCAGGAAGCTGGGCGTTGTTTCCCCCTCTCTCTGCTTGTGCCACGCTCACAACCCCAAAGAGCTTTTCCGAGGAGGAAGAAAAGAGCGGAATGGAGAAAAGCTTTTCCATTTTCCTTGACATTTATCCCGGGACCAGAAAAAGAACAGAAAACAACCCCCGGAGGAGCCCGGAGCCTTGGGTTTTATCGCAAGGTCAGAACAAGCTGTTCTCAAAGCAGGAAAT